CTTTTTGCTTGTCCTAGGTCTTTCATTTCAAATTCAGATTTTAATTTTGATTTAATGAAGTTAATTTCAGATCTATCATGGCAGGCAAGCAACATGTCATCAACATATAATAACAGATAAATGGATTCAGGTCCACCTGAACCTTTATAGAAAAAACAGGAATCATAATTGCTTTTGACAAAACCCAAAGTCTGCACATAAGAGTTAAATTTTATGTACCATTGCTTGAGAGTCTGTTTTAGTCCATAGAGGGACTTCTTCAACAAACAAACCTTATTGATCTTAGACTTTACTTCAAACCCTGGATGTTGACTCATGTTTATGGTTTCATCAAGATCCCCATTGAGGAATGCAGTTTTGACATCCAGTTGATCTAATTCCCAATCAAAATGAGCAGTTAGTGCCAACACTATTATCATAGAGGTATATTTTGTCACTGGAGAAAAAATTTCATTGTAATCCACCCCCTCCTTTGAGTAAAACCCTTGGCCACTAATCTGGCCTTGTATCTTTTATCTTGTGAGTTAGAGTCTCCTTGTTTAATTTTAAAAGTCCACTTGCAGTCAATTATCTTTTGGTTTTTAGGCCTATCAACCAAAACCCAAGTTTTATTTTTGATGAGAGAGTTCATTTATTCATTCATTTCTTTCCAGAACTTAGAATGTAGACATTTATTTGCTTCATCAAATGAAGTAGGTTCATAATTTAAGAAGTCCAGACCAGAGAAAAAAGTGACAAATTCTTCATTATTAAATCTGATTGGAGGTCTTATATTTCTTCTTTCTCCATCCCTAGTTAACTGATAATCAACAAATGTAGGATCTGAAGACTCCACCTCAATTAGACCATCTAGATTTTGAGATTCATCAATTTTATTTTCCAGGACGGTTTCTTTCAACAGTGAGGTTCTGAAGTTTTAAGATCAGTTGATTTCACACAAGGCATGTCATTTTCATTGAAGATGACATTTCAACTAATAATGGCCTTAAAGCCATTTTGGTCTCTAACCCACAGTTTGTACCCTTTTGTTTTCTTTCCATAACCCAGAAAAACACACTTTAAGGACCTGGGTTCTAGTTTCCCTTCACTCTGATGTGAATATGCAGTGTAGCAAAAAACTTACAGTTTACTATAATCAGGAATTTTTCCTAACCATATCTTTTTAGTGACTTGAAAATCAATGGCACTTGATGGACTTCTATTTATTAGATAAGTTGCTGTTTTTGGGGCCTCTCCCCAAAAGAACTTAGGAAGACCAGAACTGTACAACATACATCTCCCTTTTTCCAATAAGTATCTATTCATTCTCTCAGCAACACCATTTTGTCGAGAAGTGTATGTTACAGTTCCGTGTCTTAAAATTCCATAATCTTTACAAAACAAGTCAAATTCAGAGTTTCAATACTCAAGACCATTATCAGTCCTTAAAGCCTTGATTTTCTTATTTGTTTGGTTTTCGATCATTAATTTCCAATGTTTAAAGGTTTGGAAATTATCAGATTTTTGTTTTAGAAGAAAAGTCCAAATTTTTCTTGAAAAATCATCTACTGTAAGTAAGTAAAATCTAAATCCACTCAGAGTATTTACCGATACTGGTCCCCAAAGATCAGCATGTAAATATTCTAATATAGAAGTAGATTTATGAATACCAGTTTTGAAAGGCAATTTCTTCTGTTCTCCAAATACACAATTTTCACAAAAATCCGAACCCTTAACATTGTCCTTACCAAAACATCCAAGTTTATCTAAGATTATCAGCCTCTTTTCTGAGATGTGGCCATGTCTTTTATACCAAATTAAAGACTTATTGGAATCAAAGTTTAAGGCTATGGAACAGTGATCTATCATAGATTTAGCACATACAGTATATATGCCATTTATCTTTTGAGAGGATATGATAGTTTTATTTCCTTGCATAAGAGTTAAAAAACCTTTATGAATCATAATGCTGTATTTATCATCAAGCTCACCCAAGGAAATAAGATTTCTTTTTAACTCAGGGACATATCTGGTGTTCTCAAGTTCTAGGGTACAACTGTTATTTAATGAGAGTTTGACCTTCCCAATTCTCTTGATTTGACAACTCATGTCATTTCCCATCTGAATTTGTCCTCCATTTAGGTCAACAAATTCAGAAAAACATTCTTTTGTGGGACAAATGTGAAAGGTGCAACCAGAGTCAATGATCCATTCATTTGGGTCTCTTCTGGTGGTTTTTGCCAAAACAACCCCTTGAATATCAGATTCATCTTTGCAGGCTACAGCTACAGATCCTTCATTATTAGTATTCTCTTTCATATATGAGATTTTCTTGAAGTAATCTTTTATTACATGGCCAGTTTTACCACAGTAATAACATTTCCAGATCTGGTTTTTAGTTTTCCATTGATTCTTATTCATTTCCTTAAATCTGGAGAATTGAGTTTTTCCTTT